ATTCGTTCACCAGGTGTGCTTGAGAATGCTAACGCTGCCTTGCCTAACTCTTGTGCGTTGCTTTGCTGTCGCTGCTGTTGCGTTGCATTTGCTGTGCTGCTATGCTATGCTATGCTATGCTGCGCTATGTTATGCTATGCTATGATATGCTTTGCTATGCTGCGCAATGCTATGCTATGCTATGCTAGGGTACGCTCGGTTGCGCTGTGTTATGCTATGCTATGGTGCGCTGTGCTATGCTATGTTAGGCTATGCTATGGTATGATATGCTGCGCGATGCTATGATATGCTATGCTATGCTGTGCTAGTATGCGCTATGATATGATATGATATGCTATGCTATGATATGCTGTGCTATGCTATGTTATGCTGCGCTGTGCTATGCCAAGCAATGCTATGCTATGCTATGTTATGCTATGTTATGCTATGCTATGCTGCGCTATGCTATGCTAGGCTATGCTATGATATGCTGAGCTATGCTATGCTATGCTATGCTATACGTGGCTATGCAATGCTATGCTATGCTGTGCTAATGCTGCACTGCGCTATGCTGCGCTGCGCTAAGCTGGGCTAAGGTAAGCTAAGCTAAGCTAAGCTAAGCTAGGCTAGGCTAAGCTAAGCTAAGCTAAGCCAAGCTAAGCTAAGCTAAACTAAACTAAGCTAAGCTAAGCTAAACTAAGCTAATATGATATAAGCTAAGCTAAGCTAAGCTAAACTAAGCTAAGCTAGGCTAGGCAAAGTGCTGCTAAGCTAAACTAAGCTCAGCTAAGCTAAGATGAGATAAGCTAAGCTAAGCTAAGCTAAACTGGGTGAACCCAGGGGGCGCAACTGGGGGAACCGCGGGGCGGATACTGGGGGAACCGCCCGGGGCGAGGAACACTGCCTGGCCCCTGTAAGCCCAGCGAGTAAGAACCCTCGAGGCAGAGCCTAGGTAGGGGAAAAAAAGACGGGAAGTTTTTGCCAATTTCCGGCCTCGGGGAACCCTCGCCGGGCCTCGGGACCGTCAAAAAAAGACTCAGGATGAAAAAACACTCCTGGGGAAAGGGTCGAGACTTCCAAGGACCCCGTATTAAAAAAAGATCGGGACGTCGCATGTCTGGGCCTGGGGCGCCAAAGAAACCAAGAACAAGGGTACGGTGAGGAAAAGGTGCAGCATCTTCGCGTTGTTGCCCAGTTCTTTCTCCCGTCGTTACCCTGCTGCACTTTGAGATGAGGGAGGGGGGGAATCCCCAGCCAGCCCTTGGGGGGCAACACGCCCCTGGGCGGGGAACGGTTGATGGACAACATCCTGCACTTTTTTAAATTTTTTGTTTTCGCCCCCCGCGCCCCCGATATAAGATTGGCAGGCTGTGGCGCGATTCGTCGATCCGCCGACTGGCCTAGATCCTGCACCCCGCGGGCGCAGCCAATCAACATTGAATCGGGGGCAGGGGGGCGCGTGGAAGTTTGCGCCGTCGCCCCGGTTGCGCAGCTGGTGCAGGGTTTTGTCCATCAACCGAAGGGGGGTGGGGCATCGGGCCCCTATCGGCGATCAATGAGCGCTTGGGGGCCGACGCATCCCCCCCTGAGCGTCTTTCCCCCCTCACGTTGCCCCTGAGATGCTCGAGACGCGGTTACTTTCGCGCCCCCCTCGGTGACCTACGACCCCGGGGTTCTCGGCTCACGAATCCGATCTTGCAGCGGCCGTTCGAGACGATCCGGGCACCCCCGGGACGCCCCCGGCGAGGCGCAACTGCTGGAACGCACCCCGAGGCTGGAGAGCCGACGCCGCGGACCCACGGAAACTCCCGAAGACCTCGAACCTCGAGCCCGAAACGCCTCCTCCTCCTCCTCCTCCTCCTCCTCCTCCTCCTCCACCCCTTGAGCCGACCCCCCCCCTGACATTGCCCCCGAAGCCAACCGCCCACGCGCGAGTGCCCCTGGGCAGGAGTGACCATCGGTCCGCCGCCTTCGGAGGCCGCGGGGAAGCCAGGTTTACGTCGGGCCTGTCCCCCTATACAGGAGGAGTGTTCAAAAGTAGTCCAAGAATAGTCAGGGGACGATTTTGGGGGTATGTTTTGACATTTTTGTTTTTGTACTTCTGGGGTACTTGATCTTATTTTTCGTCCAAAACCAGCCTGTGGGGGACATGCCCGACCTGTGGTCTATGGCCTAAGGCCAGGGATCCAAGCGCGCAGGCCAGTGCTGGGGGGACCCCTGCGGGGGAGACCGCGAGGTGCCGATGCGATGCCGCTGCTCCCCAGCGCCCGGACCTCTCCCAGGGGGCGCACAGGAGACATACTCATACTACATGTCCTCCTTGGAGGCGCGCGTCCGACCCGAACATATAGTATACGCGTCTTGCAACATATCGTTTCCCGAGCGGTGTGGCCAGAAAGCGTCCGCCACGACGCATATACTGTTCCTCGGTGTGCGCGTCGCCCCTGGGGGGCGACGCACATATAGTACAAGTATGTTGGGGTGGCGCCGATCCCAAGGTGCTCTGACCACAGGATTCGAGGAGGATCCAGCGGTGGCGACGAGGGCCCCCCAGGAACACCCAAAAGGAGAACGCGAGCGAAGGGCAGCGGTATGGGTACCTTTTCCTCCTCCGACCTGGGGGACCGCCCCAGAGGTCACTCCGGCGAAGGGTCATTCATTCTGCCGTGCCCCCGACACCAGCCCTCAGGCCTCGGGGCGATCGACATGGGCACGGAAAGAATGGGTATACGATGCCCAACAGCTGTCCCTGTTCATTCTGACCAGGACTCGCTGCCCGCGCCGCCAGACGTTGCCCTTTGAAGACACAAAGCCGCCTGCCCAACAGCGGCCGCTGTCGGTTGTGGACAGCATTTGCTGTTCTTGAGCAGGGACCGACCGTCCCGGCATTCCTACAGGCATACCACGGAATGTTCTTATAATCCAAACATGTTCTAAAAACAAAAACAATGTCCTTCGAACACATACCCGATGTGTTCAAACAAGACGTTCCCAGCCAAAGTGTTCTAAGAACATTTCGCGCAGACCACAAAAAAGGCTCTCAGAACACTCCTTGGTGGGCCCATAGGCGCGCCAGGACGCTTCGCCACTGCTTGATGCTGGGCATTGTGCCCATTTCTCCGCACCTGGTCGCCTCTGAGGCCTGCAACGCCTTCTGGCCATCGCTCGGACGTCCATTTCCTGTGTTTTTGTCGGTTTCGTGCGTGGTTTTTCGCCAAATGGTCGAGGATGCTCCTCGAAGGCCCTCGCCGAGAAAAAAAAATGCACACGTCCGAGCGATGCCAGGCCTTATGGGAGCCTCCGATGGAGTCATCCGGGGCGGTGGGCCGCCCGATGGCGCAGACCGCCCGAGGCCCGCACGGTCCGGGCGAGCGGCGGCGCGCTCCGTCCGCAGCGCCCCGCGGAAGGGGGCCGCCGCCGTGACAGGCGCGGCGCGAGCCGCCCCGTGCAGGGCGGCTGCGGATGCCCGGCGAGACCAGCCGGGCGGGACCTGCCTTACCGGCCTGGAACACATCCCTATCCCTATGCTGGGCATCGCCTCGTCACGGTGCCGATCTCAGGGGTTCCCTTGGGGCTTTGTGGGCGCATCCCTAAGGTTGTCATCGCCTTTGGGCGTGTCAATCTTAGGGGTAGGGATAAGTTCGAGGCTGGTGACTGCCGACATCCTCCGATCTGAGTCTTTGTCGCTTGGCTTTGCTTCGCGGGGCTTTGGGGTGGAAGGTTGGCCCCCTTGGGGCCGCCCAAGCACGAGGGCGCCGCAAGCACATGGAAATCCAGGGGCCGAGGGCCGCCCAAGCACGAGGGCCGCCCAAGCACGAGGGCGCCGCAAGTGCATGGAAATCCAGCCCCAGCCCCGTCCTTCGACCTGCGTAGATTATATTGGTGGGGCGTCCGGAGGGAGGCTGCCCGATCGCCTCTGCGCCGGGCGGCGCGTCCGCGAAGACGTGGGCCTCGGCGCCCCGGGCCAGCGCCCGCAGCAGCGCCCGGCACGCCGCGGCCAGGCCTGGGCGGCGGCCGGTGCGCGCGCGCGCGGTGGGCGGCGGGCCAGCGCGAGGCCACGCCAACAGCGAGGGCGGTCCACGGCGATGTTGGGCAAGTGGGTTCCCAAACCCCCTCGCGTCGCGGAAAGATCACGACGGGAGGTCTGTCGCCATTCTCGGCCTCCGGGGGCCCTCGCCGGGCCTCGGGACCGTCAAGAAACAACTCAGGATGAAAACCTGGTCCCGGGGAAGGGGTCCAGACCTTTGGGGGTCGACGCTGTGAAAAAATCACGACGTCGGGGGTTTGGGATTTTGCGACGCCGAACTCGCGCATAACAAACGGTAGGCAAACACGAGCAAGCCTCTCCTACCACCTGGAGTGGCCATGGACCACTCCCACGTACGATACCGAAGCCCACATCGCCGTTGCCTGCGTCGCCGTTGGCGTGTCTACGGTCTACGGCTCGTCTCGGCGAGTTCCTGGCAGTTTGCCTCGGATCTCTGCGACTTGCTCCTCCTTGGGTGCGCGGGCGCCCGCGTGAGTCCACAAGACCACCCAAAAAACAAAAAGGGACACAAGGCAGCGACCGGAGATGCCAGTACAGCGCCTGATCAGGAGACGAAAAGGAAGGCCGGGATGAGGAAGGACAATAGAGGGACAGGGGAGTGGGCGCCCCTCCTTGGCAATGGCATGCGCGCGCGTGCCAGGCTTGTGGCTCGGGGGCGTCCAAGAGGGGGGCGCTCAAGAGGGGGGGCGCAAATCATGGCCGGCGGCATGTGCGCGGCCCAGGGGGGGGGCCGGGGACGTAATGAAACAAGAAGAGGCGCCATGCAATCTGGGGAGATATCATGGCCCCCGCCATGATATCCCCCCCCCCCTAGTAGTCTTCCACTTGCTCGCGAGCGTGCAAACGCGCACACTCTGTTTTGCCTGTGGGTCCTCAGGTGGACGGCTTTGAACGACTCACTGACAGCGCAACGAAGGCTGTACGCAGTGTCGCCTGTGGCAGGTTGGCCTGAGCGCTGCTCAAAGTGTTTGAGATGTTTCATCCGCCTGCCTCCCGCCCGCCCTTCGATTTCCACCCCACCTTTGTCTGGACTTCTCACTGCGAGCTGCTTTCAGCTCAGGATTTTCCCGGCCGGAGGCGCCGCCAGGGGGCTCCAGCGCTGGTCTCCGCCATCCGCCGAAAGGTCATGTCTATGCAACTTGTTGCTCCTCGCTTCCTTGCCCCATCTCCCCTCTCCACCTCCCGTGATCTCGCCAGGCGCCGCCTGCGTCTGCAGGCCGCGGCGCATCTGGCCGGGGGGCGCCAGTCGCGGCCGCGGACAGTCGCGTGAGCCGGGCAGTCAGCCAGCTGAGCTGCTCGGGCTCCAGGCATGCCTGCCAGAGGGTCCAGACCAAACAGCAGGCCCTCCACCTGCACCCTCCGCACCCTCTGCGCGGCAGGTGCCGCCGTGGCGCGGCACCAGCCGCGGTGCGAACGGTGCAGGTCGAGGGGAATCCGTGTATATATATATATATATATATACACACATATCCGCCGACCCTGTCGGCGTGTGGAAGACGCATCCTGGTGTCGTCGTCTTGCGTGGATTACCGTCGTCGTCGTCGTCGTCGTCGTCGTCGTCGTCGTCGTCGTCGTCGTCGTCGTCGTCGTCGTCGTCGTCATCATCGTCGTCGCCCGAAATAAAAGGAAATCGAGCACGAAACAGAAGGAAATCGTGGTCGTGGCGAAGCCCCTCCCTACCCTTCCCACCGGGGGGGGGGCAGATACGCATCCCCCCGGGCGACCCTCTCCCTCCCCCTACAATTACTCAATATGAATACTACTCTCCCTCTTCCCCTGCTGACGGTTTGAAAGTGTCCGACCCCCCCCGCGTATTGTTTTTTTACGCACAAGTTTCCCCGGAGTTGGGTTTTCGCCTGCATTTGTTTTCCAAATGCTGCTCTCGCTGAGGCGGCGGCCTCATTTTCGGGCCCCGCTCGTTCCGAATCGTGCTCCCGCTGCAGCGCTGGCCTCATTTCCGTGCTTCCGCTCGTTCCGAATCGTGCTCCCGCTGCAGCGCTGGCCTCATTTCCGCGTTTCCGCTCGTTTCGACTCGTGCTCCCGCTGCAGCGCTGGCGTCATTTCCCGTGCCATGCCACGGCATGCAATGCCATGCTAGGTTGACACTACGCTTTGAGGTGCTCTTCTACGCCATGCCGTGTCGTGCTCTACAATGCATCGAGTACCCTCGGCATGCAATGCAATGCTAGGTTGATACTACGCTTTGCGGTGCTCTTCTACGTCATGCCATGCCGTGCTCTACAATGCATCGCGTACCATTTCGGGACCATTGCCCTGCTCGACATCCGACTGTGCGAGTAGAGAGGGGATCTGCGCCATGGTAAGGGATGGGAGGGAGGGGTAGGATGTCAGATATGACGCGAGCGCACCTAGCTTGCCCCCTCCCCTCCTCCTCCTCGTCCTCCTCCTCCTCCTCCTCCTCCTCCTCCTCCTCCACCTCCTCCTCCTCTTCCTCCTCCTCCTCCTCCTCCTCCTCCCTTCTCCCCCCTCCTGCTCCTCCTCCTCCTCCTCCTCCTCCTCCTCCTCCCCTCCTCCTCCTCTTCCTCCTCCCTCTCCTCCTCCTCCTGCTCCTCCTCCTCCTCCTCCTCCTCCTCCTCCACCCCCCTCCTCCCCTCTCCCCCTCCCTCCTCTCTCCTCCTCCTCCTCCTCCTCCTCCTCCTCCTCCTCTCCTCCTCCTCCTCCTCCCTCCTCTCCTCCTCCTCCTCCTCCTCCTCCTCCTCCTCCTCCTCCTCCTCCTCCTCCTCCTCCTCCCCTTTCTCCTCCTCCTCCTCCTCCGCCGCCGCCGCCGCCTCCTCCACCACGTCTTCATTTACCTCCGACGTCTTATCACGCATCCCGTCACCCTCGAGGGCCGAGGTATCCAGGGTCGGCGGCACTGGCCGTAAGGCCTCAGCAACATATGAATACATATGGATGTATATATATATATATATGAATAGATATACATGCATACGTGTATATCTGTACATATATATGTATCTGTGTATAAATATATACGTGTGACTGTAAATGTGTATGTCGATGATAAGATATACACAAATTACTACACAATATTTTACAGGCTCGCTACGCTTCGCCGTTACAATCTTGGTTGCATGGCGCCAGCGAGGTGCGCTGCGACCGCCATCGCCGTCGATTGGGAACGGGGGAATTGGGACGGCGCGGTCCCAGAGCATTTAGAGGTGGCGGGCGCCACGGATCTGGAAGGTCTCCCGAATGCTTAGGGCGAACGAGGTTTGTATTGTTCATGAGGGTCATATGGTCACACGTCTCATGGAGCTTGAACGGCATACGGGGCTCATCGGCTTCAACAGGAACGAAGAGCTCTCTGTGGTTCATATTTCATGGGGCTGGGGCTTGAGCTGGGCTCGAGCTGGATCTGGGGCTTGAGCTGGAGCTGAGCTGGAACAGGAACTGGAGCTGGAACTGGGGAGCTCCTGCCAGTGCTGCTACAGCTCCCCGTCCTCCTCCTCCTTCTCCTCTTCCTCCTCCTCCTCCTCCTCCTTCTCCTCCTCCTCTGCCTTCTCCTCCTCCTCTGGGAAAACACGAAACGCTGGACGGATCCGGGCACACAAACTCTTTCCCGGGAGAGGAGTTCTGGCAACATTGACAATACGATTACCCCTGCAAAACTCTTTCATAGCAACAAAGGTGACCCAAAGGACCTGGTGTACCTGTGGGACCTGCGGGTTTACCGGACCTGCGGCACTTGTGGGACCCATGGGACGTGCGACACCTGTGGGAATTGTGGGACCTTCGACATCTGTAGTAAGACTGGTGGGATCTGGGGGACCTGTGATACTTGTGGTACCTGCGATACCTTTGCGATCTGTGGAACGTGCGGGACCTGTGGGACCCGTGGGACCTGTTGTGCCTGTGGAGCCCGCGAGGCGTGCGAGACTTGTGGAACCTGTGGGACGTGTGCGACTTGTGGGACATGCGGGAACTGTGGCATTTGTGAGTCCTGCAAGGCCTGTAAACCTGTTGGACCTGTGGGGCCTGTTGGACCTGTGGGACCTGTAGGACCTGTGGGACCTGTAGGACCTGCGAGATCTGCGAGACCTATGAGACCTGTGGGACCTGTGGGACCTCCTGCGGGACCTGCGAGGCCTTAGACACCTGTGGGATCTGTTGGACCTCTGGGACCTGTGGGACCTGTTGGACCTGCGGGACCTGTGGGACATGTGGGACCTGTGGGACATGGGGGACCTGCGAGACCTGTGGGACCTGTTGAACATATGAGACGTGCGGGACCTGTGGGGCCTCTGAAACCTGCGAGACCTTTGAGAACTGTTGAACGTGAGGGACTTGCAGAGGCCTCTATGGGAGACTTGTTGGGGTCTCTTGGGGGGGCCCGATATCAGATCATTAAAGCATTTCTGGGGCTTCCCCGGGGCGTCTTTTGAAGACGCCTTAGGGGCCTCTTGGGGGCCCCTTGGGGGCCTCTCGGGGGCCTCTGGGGGCCTCGGGGGGCGTCTCGGGGGCTCCATCGGCAGTATCCGGGGCCATGTTGAGGAGAAAAGCTCGAAATGTCAGTTCGGGTTGTCCTTCTTGGGGCCCTCTTGGGCCGTATTGCGGGGCTTCTTGGGGGTTGTCTTGGGGCCCTCTTCGGCCGTTTTGGGGGCCTCTTGGGCCGTCTTGGAGCCCTTTTGAGACCCACTTGGGCCGCCGTCTTGGGGCGATCTTTGGGGCCTCTTGGGCCGTTTTGAGCGGTCGGGACACCTAAGGAATATCGAGCACCTTCAGGATATGAATGAATTTTGACGTCTGGGGCCATCTTGGGGGCCATCTTCGGGCTCTCGTTGGGCGTCTTGGGGGCCTTTTGGCCGTCCTGAGACCTGATCATCGAACTGGTCTGGTACACACACTCCCCCTTTCAAAACACACACGCGCACATATACAAACAAAAACTCGATCCCCGATCTCCGAAGAAGTGCACCCAGCTTCCTGAGACTTAGACATCCGTTGATGTGATTACTGCAATCCGTGGGCCTCAGAGGTCTCGACCTCTTCCCCAGAGGCAGGCTTCTGACCCAGACCCGAAAACATGCTTGATGGCCCTGGGGGGAGGCTCCCCAAATGAAGCCATATGTCGGAGGTCTGGGGGGGCCTTCGACGATACCTTCTGGGGGTGCGTTCTTCCCAGCATATGGAAGGGAGTCCAGCCGTTGCGACAAGGAGCCCCCAAGAGGCACAACAACGAAAACAAACAAACATAACCATCCAGCCTCGAGCCTCGATCCTCGAACGTTGAGATACCGATTGCCCTCCAAACACCCACCGACATCGTGACCTTTTCAATACGGGGTCTCCAGAAGTCCTGACCCGTTCCGCAGGGCCAGCTTTTCATGCTGAGCAACTTCTTGTCTGCAATGGAAACAGAAGGCGGCCTTCAGAGACCCAAAACGGTGCCGCGGTCGCCGACGCGGCCGCAGCGGCAGGCACGGAAGGGCGCAGCTCGAAGGAACCTCCATCCTCGAATCCCGACCCTCGACCCCAGTTCTTGGGTGCGCCGACGAGGGGAGGCGAGAAAGATGGCCCAAGTCACGCGAGGCCCAGGGAACGCACTGAAAACAGAAGAGTAAGAAGAAGAAGAAGAAGAGCAATACTAGTAATACTAACCATAATAACATGAATGACAATACCAATAAGAACAAAAAGCACAGTACGAAAACAAATATCAGTATTCGTAAGCATAAGCAAAAGCATAACCATAATAATAGCAAGCGAAAGAAGATGCGACAATGAATAATACGAACGCGAAGAATAAGCATACGAATGCAAGTACGACTACTACTAGTAACGATACAGCATGATTAATTACAAGTAGTTCAAACATAACACTAATACTAATACTCTCAAAACTACTCTTAAGAATGCACATAATAATAACATGAATAACAATCATAATAATAAGGCTTCATGTCCCGGCAATGATGTCCACGAATTCCCTTGTCCTCACCCCCCTCCTCC